GCAGCGCCTCGTATTTACAAGCAGCAGCAGCAGCAGCAACAGCAGCAGCAGCAGCAGCAGCAGCAACAGCAGCAGCAAGTGTTCGATCGATTATTTCACGCTGCCGCCAACCATTTGCTGCTGCCGCAACATAATGCCACTCTCTGGGGTCCGCTTCCAAAGGACCTGCTGCAGCAGAAGCAGCAGAAGCAGCAGCAGCAGCAACTGCAGCAGCAACAGCAGCAGCAGCAGCAGCAGCAGCAGCAGGCAGCATATTTGGGAGAGGTAAAGGTTTCCTGGCAGCTGCAGCAAGCCACGCCCGTCGACCGATGCCTCCTTATTTGGAGCATCTTAGCGTGGAGCCGCGCAGCAGCAGCAGCAGCAGCAGCAGCTGCTGCAGCAGCAGCAGGAGCAAGAGATGCTGCTGCTGCTGCTGCTTCTGCTGGTGTCGCTGCTACTCCTGCAGCAGCAACTGCTGCTTCTTCTACTTTCGTTGTGGGGCCTGTTGAGTGGCTTGTCTTGAGTGCAGCGTTCAGGCAGCAGCAGCAGCAGCAGCAGCAGCAACAACAGGTGCAGAGGCAGAATCAGAAGCAGCAGCAGCAACAGCTGCTGCTGCTGCTGCAGAGCAGCGGTGCCATGGCGCTGCATGCACTAGCTGTGCGGGCAGATGAACTGACACGCCCCACAGACACTGCAGCAGCAGCAGCCCCAGGTGTTAGCTCACCCGCTGCTGCTACTGCAGCAACAGCAGCTACTGCTGCTGCTGGTGAAGCTGCTGCTGCTGCTGCTGCTGCACCGACAGCCCTGCAGGCCGTGCGGGAGCAGTGTGGACTGCTGCTGAGAGACTGCTGCGGGGCAGCAGCAAGCGATCGCCTGCAAGTATGTGCTGCTGCTGCTCATGCTGCTGCTGCTGCTGCTCATGCTGCTGCTGCTGCTGCTCATGCTGCTGCTGCTGCTGCTCATGCTGCTGCTGCTGCTCATGCTGCTGCTGCTGATGCTCCTGATGATGCTGCCTTTTCCGGTGCTACTGCTGCTGCGGCTGCTGCGGTTTTTCGCGTTTGCTGCTGCTGCTGCGTGTGCTGCACTATCTGCTGCCTGTGCTGCATGCATGCATCTGCTGCTGCTCCGCTTTCTGCTGCAGTTGCTGCTGCTTCGTTTACTGCTGCTGCTGTATGCTGCTGCTGCTGCTGCTGCTGCTGCTGCTCTTGCAGGCCGTCCGCTGCAGCCGCGTTCTTTCTTCGTTGCTGCA